ATATATATATATATATATATATATATGTAGATAGATACGAAATATATATTAGAAAAAGACGGCTACCTTTCACGTGGCCAAACATTTCTTTATATAACTGGCGAGAAAAATGCCGTCATATTTCCTACATCCTGTGATATTTCTCAGGGCAACTCTCTGGGTTAATTTTCTCAACATTAATGCCTAGACAGTTAACATAAGCATATGCCTCTGGCTCTTGGGTTTCTTTGCTTGTCTGCGCTAATTTTTTTTATTAAAAATAATAATGCTAACTTAGAATTTGGCATTAAGTTATGAGTTATATTATCCCTTATATTGTAAAACTCAGAAACTTGAGCGTTGTATCCGGCTTTACAATATATAGTGTTATTTCTGAACTCTTTGCTGTAACTCCGTTGCTTATTGTACTACAACCAACGTTCTCTTGACTATTAGACCTACAGTAGTTTCAAGCATTAGGAAAATTCCTCCATTATTTTATCCACATCCAGGCTTATTGATAAGTCTAATAATGTTTTTACGTCAAAGCGTTTAACCTCTCATGCACACACATTGCAACCTCTCAGATCCTCAGAGCGACCTCCAGTGTGCCACCTCTGGGTTCCTGGGTACTACCTTCGAAGTGCCTCTTTAGGGTTCTAGGGTGTCGATTGAGGGCTTTGAGGCCTCCTTAGGGCTCTGGGGTGTCGCCTTGAGGCTCCGGGGTGCTTCCCTTGGGCTTCCTGGTGCCGCCTTAGGGCTCTGGGTGCCTTCTTAGGGCTCTGGGGCTCTCGATTCAGTTCAAGCTGGTTATATTATAGTCAGTCCTTAAGACACTAAATAAAAGTTTCAGATTCATTAAAAATAAACTATTGAGATTGCAAGTGCTGTGAAAAGTTTTCTAAAGAGATATTTCGTAGACAAAAGCGATCTAAGTATTCAGAAAAAAAACAACACTGTCGCAGGCCTTTTGTCAGATGATAATTGGTTTATCAATTAAGCAACCACCGTTGTACTGATTTAACACAATTTCATTCAGCAGATGATGCTTCGTTACAATCATTAGTTTTTCTTATTCTAACCAACGTTTATTGTAAGTATACTCAGTTTATTTTAAATTAATAGTCCTTGTTATTCCCGCACAAAACTCCTGTTCCCCTGAGCTGGTTGATGCCCTGGGCTGCTTGATTACACTAGAATGTTTAATGCCCTAAGCTAGTTGGTGCCCTGGGCTGGTTGATACTCTGGGCTGGTTGATGCCCTGGGCTGGTTGATACTCTGGGCTGGTTGATGCCCCGGGCTGGGGGTCTACAAGCCGTTGGGAACGGGCCTGCTAATATCGATTTCCACCAAGCGCTGGAGGTCCGGAGGTAATTGGTTGTAGATGGCCTCAGGCACATGTTCTGTCGAGGGACACAACTTTAAGTGAGGTGCATCAAATACCGTGCCACACATAAACTAAATAATGTAGACCTTAATATTACTGATTGCGAAAAGGATTTAAGAGTTCTGGTTAGCAGTAACCTGAAACCAAGACAACAGTGCATAAGCGTTCGCAATAAAGCTAACAGAATCCTTGCCTTTGTATCAAGAAGTATAAATAATAGAAGTCCTCAGGTTGTTCTTCAACTCTATATATATCCATGTATCAGAAATCTTTCCTATGAGGACAGACTGAGGGCCCTGAATCTGCACTCTCTAGAAAGGCGTAGAATTAGGAGGGATTTGACTAAGGGGTATAAATGGAAAACAGGAATGAATAAAGGAAATGTAAATAGCGTGCTATAAGTAGCGTGCTAAAAATATCTAGCCTAGACAGGACTCGCAGCAATGGTTTTAAGCTGGAAAAATTCAGATTCGGGAAGGATATAGGAAAGCACTGGTTATGTAATAGAGTTGTGGATGATTGGAACAAACTCCCGAGTTCCGTCATAGAAGCTTAGACGTTGTGTCGTTTTAAAAATAGGGTAAATAGATGAGTGGGTGTGAGTTGGACCGGACTAGCTGGTGCTACTGGGTCAGATGCCGTGCTCCTTCCTGATTGGGTGGGCCAATGGTCTAAGCCGGGGGTTGACATGGATCTGCCATGCATGGGCCAGTAGGCCTGCTGCAATGTTCCTTCTTTCTTATGTTCTATGTTCTTAACAAGCAAAAGGTGAATACAAAAACTGACGATTGTCTGACTCGGTAAGAAAAAGGAAAAAAGTATAAGAAATTTACGATTAACTTAAACCATATGTAGAGTTAGATTAAATTAATAATAAATTAGATTACATCTTACAGCAAATGTGAAATAAATAACTCAAATGGGAGAATATGAAATGAAAATTCCAATGAACAATATAACAAAATTCCGCTTCACACGTTAATTTCACCCGATGTTCAAATTAGTGTGTAAAACAATATTTGCTTTACTCACAAATAAAAACATTAAAATAATCAATTGCGAATGTCAGGAGTCTAAAAAAGTTTTACACTGTTGAATTTACAAGTAAATACCTGTTATACTTCCCGAACTAATTTCAAAACCTCGTCCTCCTGAAGGTATACTAACACTCGCTGTGTGACTAGCATTTAATGCTAGGTGAACGCTAGCAAAAAGATTGAAACGTATATGTTGCTCATCGCCTTGCAATCAAACTCAGGTCCCTTAGGGTATGAGCTGAGCGCTCTACGCTAAACTATTTATATCTCTAAACTACATGTCGTCTTCCAACCATAAACATGTCATAGCTATCAATTTACACATGTTTATGATCATTCATTTCCCTCGCTGAAGCACCTCTATAAAACATGATACAACTTACCATTGCAGCTGTGACAGGAAATACAAGTTACCATTGCAACTATAATATTTAATACAAGTTACCATTGCAACTATAATATTTAATACAACTTACCATTGCAGCTATAACAAGAAATACAATTTACCATTGCAACTATAACAGGAAATACAACTTACCATTGCAACTATTACAGGAAATACAACTTACCATTGCAACTATTATAGGAAATATAACTTACCATTGCACTATAACAGGAAATACAACTTACCATTGCAACTATAACAGGTAATACACTTACCTATGCAACTATTATAGGTAATACAGCTTACCATTGCAACTTTAACAGGAAATACAACTTACCACAGTAACTATAACAGAAAATACAGCTTACCATTGCAACGATAGACGAGATCTGACCAAATGATCATCTCCTGTGAGAAGCAGAAGACGCCCAGACGACCTCCCTTAAGCTGGTTGTCGAAGATGTTACCAGAGTCAGCCACCATATCTTCTCCCTCGAAGATACGCAGGCGGATGAGGCCGATCTTGGGTCGATGGAGGAGAAGCCAGCGGTAAGCAGTTCTCTCCTTCCACCCCACGTTGCGGGGATCCTTCCACAGCAGTTTCACCTGCATGGCAAAGTAAGACACATAGTGAAGATGTATTCCTAAACCTATGGAAAGAGGGAGCAAAGAATGATTTCTTCATCAATTTATGCCTTTTTCAACCTTTCTTATATGGAATAAAACCTATTGACAAAATATAATGGAACCTTGGGTTATTGGTGGAAGGATGAAGGATAAGAAATCATGGAATGATGAAAGACTGTGGAGATAAAGGACGATTAAAGGAAGCTTAAATGTCATACTCCAAAACCGTGGATTTTGAAGCATCACCCAGGGTAATCCTTTGCTTTATCTCTCCTGGTCTATGAAATAATTAAACCTTCCTCTGCTTGAACTATGCCTTGTATTTCTATAAAGGCTTTTCAATCTTCTCCTGCGCCATGCACGCACCTGGTCTTCAGTGTCGCCTGTGTGCCATAAGGAGTTCCTCATCATCTGACCAGGCCCAGTAGAGGACTGTACCAACTTCAGTTGTATGCCCGGCTCAGCTACAGCTCTGAAGGGTGTAGCTTGCCAGTATGTTTGCGTGTTCTTCTTCCACATTACTGTGTAGAAGTTACCGTTGTCCTGGTAACTGTTGAAGACAGTTTAGTTAGATTTGTTCCCGTTATAATTAAAATACATTGAAATTTAGACTGGAGTTTATCTTTAAATTTGTTCAGAAGTGCAATGTGAAGAATTCTGTTGCTAGAAAAATATAATTTGAGCTTTACTTTCATGGGAAGAACTTTGTGGAAAGAAGTGTCATTTTCCTGATTATGTTACATTAGCTTCAGTTATAGCTGATGAGAGTCAGGAGTTCCTTGCTTTAAAGAACTTGTGTGAGGGATAACTACAGTAAATAGTTTAGCAACAGAATCCGCGGAGATCTAAATAATTCTATTTTCTTCTTTATTGTATTGTCAATTTTATTTCCAAAATTCACTGCCGTTCACTGCACTGATAAACAGTTACTGTAATTAGCAAAATTTGTGGATTTACAAATATATATTTTGCCAACCTAAATATTAGTCCCACGTAGTCATCGTCGATCTCTGTGTCCACGAAGAAAGTGCCTTCGAAGTCCACCCCACCAAACATGTGGTAGCCTATAAGAAATGATTAACAAAAATTAATTAGCACAATTTCAGAATTATAATGAAGCAGGGTGATTCCATTGTCATTGAGAAATTAGGGGCAGATTTCTAGATGTACGCAAGTGTAATATGAATAAAAGTACATTAATTTTTAACAAAAATCTTATATGTTCAGTTGCGGAAAATAGTACCTGGACTGTCTCTTCTGGGCAGAAATAATATCTGGCAACTCAGACGTAGTAAATGAATTAACGCAGCTTGTAACGACGACGGTGACTGGTTGAGAAAATTAATTACCGGTACTTTCTGTATAGAAATAGAATTATAAATGCAAACGGGAATTAATTACTGTTCGGATATTATATCCAATATTATAAAAACAAAAATTATTTGAAAAGGTGGCCAAATATATTGTAAGGAAGTATTATGATTGATAACATAATTTTGATGAACGAGGTCTATATAATGACTTATATAGACTTATATAGTCACCTGTTTAACGTTGTATACTCTGAGTAAATAAATAAATTATATATATATATAATATATATATATATATATATGGAATGGAACAACGAATAGGCAGTCTTGACACCCACGATGCCTTGTACCTTCTCACAAAGTGCTTGAGTCTGCCCAGGTTGACATATTTCCTAAGATGTGCACCTTCATGTGATAACTCTACACTGCACGAATATGACAGTATCCTGAGGCAGTATTCTGTAAGACATTACGTAGTCCTCGTCCATCAAAATTATGCTTCACGTGAGCAGATGCGGACAGTGCATGATGATTACGGATCTATTATCACTCATAATACTTCCCATACAGTATATTCTATTCAGTCATCTTTTCAAATATAATGTTGGATATAATATCCGAACAGTAATTAATTCATGTATGCATTCATAATTCTATTTCTATACAGAAAGTACCGGTAATTAATTTTCTCAACTAGTAACCATCGTCGCTACAACCTGCGTTAATTCATTCTTAAAATTTTTTACTACGTCTGTTTACTACGTCTGTTTACTACGTCTGTTTACTACGTTTGTTTACTACGTCTGAGTTGCCTGACATTATTTCTGTCCAGAATAGACTTCCGGAATTTAACATCTCTTTTGCATCAAAACGAAAAAAAAATATTAATGGTTCTCTGCAATGTGGATCATAATATGTATTATTTGTTTTAGTGGTCGATTCATAGCTCCTGGCCCCATGTGCACCTGTCAATGTATTGTGAAAACTTGCAATTATGCAGAAATAAAGTAAGATAACCCACATTACGAAGAACACAGCATAAGGCAGAAGCCTCGTTGTTTACTATGTGAGGTCCGTTGTGTGTGTGACGTAGGAGACCAGGAGACCTAACGTACTGCTATATTTTTCCTCTGTTCTCTTGCTTTGTGCACCTGACTTAGGTTCATATATCAGGACTTTATTCCTGCTATTATATTGTTCACCTGAAGAGAGAGTTTAGCAAAACCGAAAATATTTACCGTCTGTAGCTCTGCAGTGTTGATTGTTCCAGTAATATAAACGCCTAAATAATAACAATTACTTATCTTTCAGTTATACCAACTTACATGCATTTCTAGGTCACGTAACTCGATCGCTTGCACACTCAGCTCACACACTGAGGTCCGGAGTTCGAATCTCCTCCAGTACAGCTGAAAAACATTAGGGACGTGTTTCCATAAGACACCTGCTGTCCCTGTTCCTGTTCACCCATCAGTAAAATGGGTACTTGGGTGTTAGTCAACTGGTGTGGGTCGCATCCTGGGACAAAACTGACCTAATTTGCCCGAAATGCTCTACATAACAAGTGGCTTTCTATATACTAGTATGTCATTGATGTCAGCTATGGTCTGTATACCTTGTACATGTACTTATAAATAAAGATATATATATTGTGTATGCGTATTCACCGACAAAAATATTATAACTGGTGATGACACTTACCGACCGCCAGGCCAGGGTCTGAGTTCATAGTCTGGACGATCTCAGCGCCTTTGTTATAGATGACCCAGTTAGGGTCTATCTGTGAGTCACCCTCGGGGTCTAGCACAACCGTCTGGTACGTCCTGGGGGAGATGCAGGGTATAGGGCATGTTCATAACACCTAGCTTGTTAAGGGGCACGTCAGTTCCAATGTCTTCTAATAATTTATTTTTTCCCTGTAATCACCTTGTCCTTAATTACTAGAGCAAATACGATAATAATTATGGACAAGGTAGATTATAGGGTAAAAATAAACATGAGGAGACAGGGAAACTCGCGCGTCTCTTAAAGGTTGTGTGCGAAGGTAAAGAGGAGGCGTAGTTCCCTGCAAACATGGAAAGAGGAAGCGTAGTTTCCTGCAAACATGGAAAGAGGAGGCGTAGTTTCCAGCAAGCATGGAAAGAGGAGGCGTAGTTTCCAACATAGAAAGAGGAAGCGTAGTTTCCTGCAAACATGGAAAGAGGAGGCGTAGTTTCCAGCAAGCATGGAAAGAGGAGGCGTAGTTTCCAGCAAACATGGAAAGAGGAGGCGTAGTTTCCAGCAAACATGGAAAGAGGAAGCGTAGTTTCCAGCAAACATGGAAAGAGGAGGCGTAGTTTCCAACAAACATAGAAAGAGGAAGCGTAGTTTCCTGCAAACATGGAAAGAGGAGGCGTAGTTTCCAGCAAGCATGGAAAGAGGAGGCGTAGTTTCCAGCAAACATGGAAAGAGGAAGCGTAGTTTCCAACAAACATAGAAAGAGGAAGCGTAGTTTCCAGTAAACATGGAAAGAGGAAGCGTAGTTTCCAGCAAACATGGAAAGAGGAAGCGTAGTTTCCAGAAAACATGGAAAAAGGAGGCGTAGTTTCCAGCAAACATGGAAAGAGGAAGCGTAGTTTCCAGCAAACATAGAAAGAGGAAGCGTAGTTTCCAGCAAACATGGAAAGAGGAAGCGTAGTTTCCAGCAAACATGGAAAGAGGAAGGGGAAACTAGTGGTGGTAAGATTATAGTGTAAAAAGAGGTGCCAATACCTCACAGTTAATTACGTATATCTAAAATTTTGAATTTGCATCTACATTTGCTGATTTTTGCGTTACCGCTTACAAGATGAACATGGACGCACGATAAACTAGCCTCTCAGGCAACAGGCTCTCAGCAGACACTAGTCTCATATTCACTCGTTTCTTTTTCCCCTCTATTCTTTCAGCAGACACTGGTCTCGTATTCACTCGTTTCTTTTCTCCCGCTATTCTTTCAGCAGACACTAGTCTCATATTCACTCGTTTCTTCTTCCCCTCCATTCTTTCAGCAGACACTGGTCTCATATTCACTCGTTTCTTTTCTCCCTCTATTCTTTTCCTCGCTCCTTCCCCCCTCTTCCTCACCAAAATCCTACCTGAAGTCGGTGGCGTAGATCTTGGAGTTGTTGGGGCAATTGTCCTGGAAGTCGAGCACTTCGTCCGTGTCAGCATCGTCCGCGCAAATGTCGCCGACGCCGTTCGAGTCGGAGTCGCGCTGGTCTGGGTTATAGCGAAGCCAACAGTTGTCATTATTGTTGGGGATACTATCGTTATCGGCGTCCGGGTCGCACGCGTCGCCGATGCCATCGTTATCGGCGTCATGCTGGTCACTATTAGGGGTGTTAGGGCAGTTGTCTTGGTTGAGTTGGACGCCATCTCTGTCTCACGGGGAAGAAAACCATCATAAGATTAGATAAATAAGAACACCAGAGAAAGGACTCATAAAACAGTCCACACATCCCCCCCAAAATAGAAAAAATTGCTCATTTTAAATTCTCACCATCTGTGATTTTCCTTTTCAGATATACTAAGCAAATTTCCTAAAATTGCTTGTAACAGATAAGTGAACTGTAGATATATATGTAGATATAAACCCATATGTACACCTGTTAACCTTTTTGGGGCCTAGTTCCTAGGCCTATTGTGTATCCATATGCTCTTGCGCTACCGTCCACAGGATGGATGTGGGGTGTACAATAAACCAGCCACTTCGGTGGCAAAATTTAAAAATCTAATCTTTTAGGAAAAAAAAAAAAGGTTTAAAACGTTGAGCAATGAACAGGTTTAAGTGATGCTTGGACTTCACCTGTCAGGATCGTCGTTGGTGTCACAGGCATCACCAACGAGGTCCTTGTCCATGTCTTCTTGACTTGGGTTTCGCACTTCTGGGCAGTTGTCGCAAGCGTCGCCCAGTCCGTCACGGTCCGTGTCCAGCTGGTCCGAGTTGGCTGTCCGTGGGCAGTTGTCCTGGCGGTTGGGCACGCCTACCATAGAGAACCCAAAATAAGTTGCGTTATGTTGATGGGTAAACACAGATATAATACACAGATGTAAACCCAAAATAAGTTACGTTATGGTGATGGGTAAACAGAGATATAATACACAGATGTACTGGAATGAATAACGGGACTTCCATCTTACAAACTGTACTGTTTATCATAATTATTCCTCATAAGCTTGTGGAAACTACAGTCGAAACAATGTATTTGTTTCTGACCCACTATCTTAATTACATGTTCTTAATAGCCTGAGATATGAATATATGCTCATGTATAAAGCCAGACACAGGGGTACATAAGTTATTGAAAACAAGAGATAAACCTTTCTCTCTCACATAAGCCTCCGAGAGTATGATAAAGTGGGTGACTTGGTTAAACTAGAATTAAATTTAGATGTCAAATATAATTTAGATAATGTCAAATATAATTTTCGTTTCTCAAACAGAAGTTTACAAAAAAATAGAAGAGAACTAGCAGATGAACTTGACTAATGTTGAACGTAGGAACTACGTAGGAACTACCAGGTGCACTGCTCATCATGAAATATATTAAGTAAAATAGGTCTCGTAAACAAAATATAAAGATCAGTAGACTAAAAGTTGTCAATGTTGCACGATGGATAGGTTATAAGTATTTTTGGGTAGTAATATATGGAGATTTCAGTTACATGACATATAAAGTGTGTGTGGAGAGACATACACAAGAACATTATATCTTAGTATCGAAATATCCAACCATTTAGACACGTCCATGCTAGCCCTACAGAAAATAGCAAAATACTTTATTATTGATGATAAGATACCCGAAGTCCTACGATTGTAGCCACATTTTGCACCTCTTACAATTTAGATGGATGACCTGTAATTAGAGGAGATTGTGAACTAACATTGATGAATATTTTAAGCGGTTATAACATATATGAATTTTCTAGACCTTGTACCTTCATACAACACTGTAAGCCATTTATGTGAAAACAAAATTGTAATGTATGAAATGACTAAAAATTTTAAAAATCAGGTTTTTATCAAGCCTCAGTGGGCCTGATAAAAACAAACCTGGCTTCTGTAAGCCTTTCATTTTTCCCCTACCGTTCACAGGATAAGAAAAGGGTTTACAGTAAACTAGCCACTTAAACTGCACGAAGGGAATGGATTAAGGTAATCACAGTGACAAACATCATCAGGAAGTAATCATCACCCACGTCCACGTGTGTGGACGTGAGTGATGATCCAGTGAAGTACTCTGGGGAAAGCATGGTGTCTTCCCTCAGGCAACTATGCAAGAGTGCAACAGCAACTGCAACAGCAACTGCAACAGCAGAGATCAGCCAGGGAACCCTATAATCATTTGACTGCCGGAGACCTTCTTGAGAGCTCCATCATAGTTCGTAAAGGACGAGCCAGCTGGGAAGCTACTATAGGTTGGAAATATACCCCGTCATTGTCCCAGATACAGTACAGCAGCTCCTAGGAATAGCTCGAGTGTCAGAAAAACTCATAAACACACTCGGTGGGAGAATAAGAGAACTGAGTAACAAAATAAAAACACAAGGTTTGGAGGAAACAGCTGCTGATGATAGTGAAAGCGGAATTCAGAACACCACTGTGTACAAGGCAGATATAGCAATGGTGGAAATGTGTTCTGTGATGAGGAAAATGGTAAAGAAAGTGTAGGGAAGTGGGGGGCTATGAGGAAAATCTTAGTAATACTGAAAATAAGTCTAATATTGATGACAGTGAAGTGGAAATTGTACCAAAAAAAATCCTAGACAAATCAATGGATCACACTCACCATCATTATCAATATCTGGGTCACAAGCGTCACCAATACCATCCTTATCATTGTCTTCTTGATCCAGGTTGGGGATGGTGGGACAGTTGTCGCACGCGTCGCCTTGCTTGTCAGGTCCGTCGGGGTCCGTGTCAGACTGGTCAGGATTCGATACCAGCGGGCAGTTGTCCTGGTGGGAGAGAAAGGGAATGAGAGGTGTGGAGTGGGGTGAGAGGAGGAGAGGGGAGGGAGTAGGAATAGAGAAAAGAAAGGCACAATACCGTGACTGAAACAATACGCAAATAACCGCACATAGGAGACTTATGACAAAGTTTCGGTCAGAATTGGACCATTTACAAGTAGCACTAATACACGAAGGAGAGGGAGCCAGTATATACAGGAGAGGGGGACAGAGAGAGGAAGAAAGAAGTGAAGAAGTAATGGTAGAGGGAATGATGGTAATGTAAGTAGCAGTGGTAGTAATACGTAGGGGGAGTAGTGGGAAACAAAAGGAAGAGTAAAGCGAAGCAATAGTAGAAGTAGTAGGACTAGTAGTAGTAGTAGTAATAGAGTAGAAGCGGTAGAAGTAAAAGTGGAATAAGTCTAAAGACAAGAAAAAGGAACACTACAGGAGACCTAACAGCCGACAAGGGCAGGACCAACAACAAACAAGGGAAACACTGAAGGACAGAACACACCTAGGCAGAAGACATGAAGACAAAAACAGGAAAGGAGAAAAGGCAAGGAGAGGAGAAGAAAAGATCAGGTCACGTCACGATTGTTCTGAAGTTTGGAGCATTTGACAATATAATGAGACAGGAAAGCATCTACAGAAACAAAGCCAAGACTAGGATTCATATTAAGAAAGTTGTGTATTAGAGATGCTTCAGCAAGACGGTGTCTGTCAAGGCTAGAAGAAAGGTAGACAGTTCTAGCAGAAGACCCGGTCAATAGGATGACTTTGATCTCTAACATGACAGAAAAGAGCATTACTGGTGTCAGGAAGTCTAACACTTCTGGTATGTTCTTTAAGTGTGTCAGAAAGACAACGGCCAGTTTCTCCAAACTATTGAAGGCATCAATAGCAGGAGGAATACTGAGAGAAAGGGAATTGAAGGGAGAAAAGTGACGTGGTGGGGAAGGAGTAGTAGAGTTGCAGGAAAGTGACGTGCTGGAGTGGTAGTAGTAGAGTGGCTGGAAAGTGACGTGCTGGAGTGGTAGTAGTAGAGTGGCTGGAAAGTGACGTGCTGGAGTGGGAGTAGTAGAGTGGCTGGAAAGTGACGTGCTGGAGTGGTAGTAGTACAGTGTCTGGAAAGTGACGTGCTGGAGTGGGAGTACTAGAGTGGCTGGAAAGTGACATGCTGGAGTGGGAGTAGTAGAGTGTCTGGAAAGTGACATGCTGGAGTGGGAGCAGTAGACTGGGTGGAAAGTGACGTGCTGGAGTGGGAGTAGTAGAGTGGCTGGAAAGTGACGTGCTAGAGTGGGAGAGGTAGAATAGCTGGAAAGTGACGTGCTGGAGTGGGAGTAGTAGAGTGGCTGGAAAGTGACATGCTGGAGTGGGAATAGTAGAGTGGCTGGAAAGTGACGTGCTGGAGTGGGAGTAGCAGAGTGGCTGGAAAGTGACATGCTGGAGTGGAAGTAAAGTGGCTGGAAAGTGACGTGCTGGAGTGGGAGTAGTAGAGTGGCTGGAAAGTGACATACTGGAGTGGGAGTAGTAGAGTGGGTTGGAAAGTGACGTGCTGGAGTGGGAGTAGTAGAATGGCTGGAAAGTGATGTGCTGGAGTGGTAGTAGTAGCGTGGGCTGGAAAGTGACATGCTGGAGTGGGAATAGTAGAGTGGGCTGGAAAGTGACGTGCTGGAGTGGAAGAAGTAGAGTGGCTGGAAAGTGACATGCTGGAGTGGGAGTAGTAGAGTGGGCTGGAAAGTGACGTGCTGGAGTGGGAGAAGTAGAATGAGTGAAAAGTGACGTGCTGGAGTGGGAGAAGTAGAATGGCTGGAAAGTGACGTGCTGGAGTGGGAGAAGTAGAATGGCTGGAAAGTGACGTACTGGAGTGGGAGAAGTAGAATGGCTGGAAAGTGACGTGCTGGAGTGGGAGTAGTAGAGTGGCTGGAAAGTGACGTGCTGGAGTGGGAGTAGTAGAGTGGCTGGAAAGTGACGTGCTGGAGTGGGAGTAGTAGAGTGTCTGTAAAGTGACATGCTGGAGTGGGAGTAGTAGACTGGGTGGAAAGTGACGTGCTGGAGTGGGAGTAGTAGAGTGGCTGGAAAGTGACGTGCTAGAGTGGGAGAGGTAGAATGGCTGGAAAGTGACGTGCTGGAGTGGGAGTAATAGAGTGGCTGGAAAGTGACATGCTGGAGTGGGAATAGTAGAGTGGCTGGAAAGTGACGTGCTGGAGTGGAAAAAGTAAAGTGGCTGGAAAGTGACGTGCTGGAGTGGGAGTAGTAGAGTGGCTGGAAAGTGACATACTGGAGTGGGAGTAGTAGAGTGGGTTGGAAAGTGATGTGCTGGAGTGGTAGTAGTAGCGTGGGCTGGAAAGTGACATGCTGGAGTGGGAATAGTAGAGTGGCTGGAAAGTGACATGCTGGAGTGGGAGTAGTAGATTGGGCTGGAAAGTGACGTGCTGGAGTGGGAGTAGTAGAGTGGCTTGACAGTGACGTGCTGGAGTGGGAGAAGTAGAATGATTGAAAAGTGACGTACTGGAGTGGGAGAAGTAGAATGGCTGGAAAGTGATGTGCTCGAGTGGGAGATGTAGAGTGGGCTGGAAAGTGACGTGCTGGAGTGGGAGAAGTAGAATGGCTGGAAAGTGACGTGCTGGAGTGGGAGATGAATAGTGGGCTGGAAAGTGACGTGCTGGAGTGGGAGAAGTAGAATGGCTGGAAAGTGACGTGCTGGAGTGGGAGAAGCAGATTGGCTGGAAAGTGATGTGCTGGAGTGGGAGATGTAGAGTGGGCTGGAAAGTGACGTGCTGGAGTTGGAGTAGTAGAGTGGCTGGAGAGTGACGTGCTGGAGCGGGAGAAGTAGAATGGCTGGAAAGTGACGTGCTGGAGTGGGAGATGTAGAGTGGGCTGGAAAGTGACGTGCTGGAGTGGGAGAAGTAGAATGGCTGGAAAGTGACGTACTGGAGTGGGAGAAGTAGAATGGCTGGAAAGTGACGTGCTGGAGTGGGAGATGTAGAGTGGGCTGGAAAGTGACGTGCTGGAGTGGGAGAAGTAGAATGGCTGGAAAGTGACGTGCTGGAGTGGGAGATGAATAGTGGGCTGGAAAGTGACGTGCTGGAGTGGGAGAAGTAGAATGGCTGGAAAGTGACGTGCTGGAGTGGGAGAAGTAGAATGGCTGGAAAGTGATGTGCTGGAGTGGGAGATGTAGAGTGGGCTGGAAAGTGACGTGCTGGAGTTGGAGTAGTAGAGTGGCTGGAGAGTGACGTGCTGGAGTGGGAGAAGTAGAATGGCTGGAAAGTTACGTGCTGGACTGGGAGATGTAGAGTGGGCTGGAAAGTGACGTGCTGGAGTGGGAGAAGTAGAATGGCTGGAAAGTGACGTGCTGGAGTGGGAGAAGTAGAATGGCTGGAAAGTGACGTGCTGGAGTGAGAGATGTAGAGTGGGCAGGAAAGTGACGTGCTGGAGTGGGAGTAGGAGAGTGGCTGGAAAGTGACGTGCTGGAGTGGGAGTAGCAGAGTGGTTGGAAAGTGACGTGCTTGAGTGGGAGTAGCAGAGTGGCTGGAAAGTGACGTGCTGGAGTGGGAGTAGTAGAGTGGCTGGAAAGTTGCGTGCTGGAGTGGGAGTAGTAGAGTGGCTGGAAAGTGACGTGCTGGAGTGGGAGTAGTAGAGTGACTGGAAAGTGACATGCTGGAGTGGGAGTAGTAGATTGGGCTGGAAAGTGACGTGCTGGAGTGGGAGTAGTAGAGTGGCTTGACAGTGACGTGCTGGAGTGGGAGAAGTAGAATGATTGAAAAGTGACGTGCTGGAGTGGGAGAAGTAGAATGGCTGGAAAGTGACGTGCTGGAGTGGGAGAAGTAGAATGGCTGGAAAGTGACGTACTGGAGTGGGAGAAGTAGAATGGATGGAAAGTGACGTGCTGGAGTGGGAGATGTAGAGTGGGCTGGAAAGTGACGTGCTGGAGTGGGAGAAGTAGAATGGCTGGAAAGTGACGTGCTGGAGTGGGAGATGAATAGTGGGCTGGAAAGTGACGTGCTGGAGTGGGAGAAGTAGAATGGCTGGAAAGTGACGTGCTGGAGTGGGAGAAGCAGATTGGCTGGAAAGTGATGTGCTGGAGTGGGAGATGTAGAGTGGGCTGGAAAGTGACGTGCTGGAGTTGGAGTAGTAGAGTGGCTGGGGAGTGACGTGCTGGAGTGGAGAAGTAGAATGGCTGGAAGTGACGTGCTGGAGTGGGAGATTGTAGGAGGGCTGGAAAGTGACGTGCTGGAGTGGGTAGAAGTAGAATGGCTGGAAAGTGACGTACTGGAGTGGGAGAAGTAGAATGGCTGGAAAGTGACGTACTGGAGTGGGAGAAGTAGAATGGCTGGAGAGTGACGTGCTGGAATGGGAGAATGTAGAGTGGGCTGGAAAGTGACGTGCTGGAGTGGGAGAAGTAGAATGGCTGGAAAGTGACGTGCTGGAGTGGGAGATGAATAGTGGGCTGGAAAGTGACGTGCTGGAGTGGGAGAAGTAGAATGGCTGAGAAAGTGACGTGCTGGAGTGGGAGAAGTAGAATGGCTGGAAAGTGATGTGCTGGAGTGGGAGATGTAGAGTGGGCTGGAAAGTGACGTGCTGGAGTGGGAGAAGTAGAATGGCTGGAAAGTGACGTGCTGGAGTGGGAGAAGTAGTAATGGCTGGAAAGTGACGTGCTGGAGGTGAGAGATGTAGAGTGGGCTGGAAAGTGAGTGCTGGAGTGGGAGTAGGAGAGTGGCTGGAAAGTGACGTGCTGGAGTGGGAGTAGCAGAGTGGTGGAAAGTGACGTGCTTGAGTGGAGTAGCAGAGTGGCTGGAAAGTGACGTGCTGGAGTGGGAGTAGCAGAGTGGCTGGAAAGTGACGTGCTGGAGTGGAGTAGTAGAGTGGCTGGAAAGTGGCGTGCTGGAGTGGGAGTAGTAGAGTGGCTGGAAAGTGACGTGCTGGAGTGGGAGTAGTAGAGTGACTGGAAAGTGACGTGCTGGAGTGGGAGTGTAGAGTGGCTGGAAAGTGAGTGCTGGAGTGGG